CGAGGAAGTGGGATGTGTTGAGACACGAAGCTGGGTTCCCTGGTTCATCCTTGAGGGGGCACCCCAGGGATGGGCTTGAAGTCTGGGGGCCATGGCAAATCTTTGGGGAGTAACTGGGAAGTGTCTCCACACAGTCACCCCCTACTCTGCGATCGACACGTGGCCGGGCCGGCGGAGCGGAGGCATGATCGTCATCACGTCCATCCTGGGCTCCCTGCCCTTCTTCCTGCTCGTAGGGTTCGCAGGCGCCATCATCCTCAGCTTCGTGTGAGCACCCCCAGATGGGAGGGGGTGTGCCACGGGATGCTCCATCCCCGGGACTTCCAGAGGCGAGGAGAGCCCTGGGGTGGGGAGGTGGGGGACCCTGGGTTCCCTTCTACCTCCCAGCTGTAGGGCTTCAGGGACAAGTCATTCAGCTTCAAGGTCAAGCTTCAACACCCAGACTGCCGAGTCAGATCCAGCCCTGTCACTTGCCAGTTGTGCAACTTGGAGTTTCTGACCTTCTCTGGGCCCCAGGTTCCTTGTCTGGAAAATGGGATAATAGTAAATACTGCCCGGCCCCCATCTGACGCAGAGCAACCCTATAGCACAGAGTAGAACTGCCCCTTTGACTCTCTGTATATCTTCAGGACAGCAGAAAGCCTTCCATGTCTCCCGAAGAGCGACTGGTGGATTTGAACCACCGACCTTGTGGTTAGCAGCCCAACTGGTAACCCCCTGTTCTACCAGAATTAACTTGATGGCAGTGAGCTCTTTGAGTTTGCCTACCCTGTGGGTGCATCTCAGTGGAGGGGGGCTCTGCAGATCAAGAGAAGAGCCTGTGCCAGCTGAGGGGTAGGGGTGGCCCTGACAGCAAAGCTGCTCAGAGCTAAAGGAAGTGGAGAAAGGCCATCAGTGTGGGGGGTGCTGGCAGGGGAGGGGAGTTGGGGGTAGGTGGTGAACTTGGAAATCAGATTGTTCTCTGAGAGTGAAATTAATGAAAACCACAACGAACAGATGAGATCAGCTGGGGGGAGACTCCACTGTCTGTCTGGGCCAGGGACCATGGAAGTTCTTGTCCCTCCTCCCTTTGGGCAATGCCTTCAGCTAGCATTGAGCCAGAACCGGCTGAGATCGAGCTGACCCCCCAAACACTCATGGCGCCCCCACCTGTGTCAGAGTAGAACTGTGCTCCATATGGTTTTCAGTGGTGGGTTTTAGACATAGGTTGCCAGGACTTTCTTCTGAGGCACCTCTGAGTGGGCTCTGCTTTAGCGTACAACAACAACAACAAAGACCAAACTCACTGCCATCAAGTCAATTCCAACTCACAGCGACCCGTTCGGACAGAGTAGAACTGGCCCTGTGGGCTTCCCACACTGTAACTCTTTATGGGAGCCGAAAGCCTTATCTTTCTCCCTCAGAGTGGCCGGTGGTTTTGAACTGCTGATCTTGGGGTTAGCAGCTCGACTGGTAACCACCAGTAACCAGTTGCCACCAGTAATCCGTAGGGTACCAAAGAGGCCCCAAATCTCAAATAGAATTTAGGAGAATGTGAATGAAGTCTTAAAAACAAAGACACATCATTTGGATGAGGGAGCCCCTTGGCATGAGGTCAGCATGGCACCCATGGCTCACAGAGGTTCAGAGACTTTAAAAGGACATGGGAAGGGAGCTGTCACCAAGCAGGACTGGCGGCAGATCGATGCAGCTCTGTGACAGGTGGGACTGTCAAGGTGGGTCTGGAGCCATGATTGGGACACACGTGTTAAGTGGGATAGAATTGCTTACAAGATTGGTCCAGGGCCCTCCAACCAAGGCAGTCAGGATATGACTCTCAACTATGTGGCCCTAGCACCCCAATTTACATT